TATTATTTTAATTTCTTCCATATATAGGTATTAATTTAAGTATATTAATTCTACTATCAACAGGTAAATTAATCCTAAAAAATACCTTTAAAATATTGTCAAAATGCAATACTTCAAATGACTAAACAGTAAAATATTACATACCTCTACAAAAAAAAAAAAAGTAAAATCTCAGGTAAAGGAGGACTATTGTACCAATCTCCAAAAACAAGTGAATGAATTCATATAGAACTGATACAGAAATATCTATCTATCTATCAATTATTTTTAATGGACTATTTTATTTATTTATATGCGGAGCTGAGAATTGAACCCAGTGCCTCAAACATGCTAGGCAAGTGCTCTACCACTGAACCATAACCCCAGTCCCYTATGGATCTTAAATACTGTTAAATCCTTTGMCACTTAATCTTTTAGTCAAAAAAGATGATTTATACTGTTTCACCAAGAACCAAAAGAAGAGATCAGCTCACAGAATAGTTAAGTATACTGTAAACTGACAGTTAAAAAAGTTTTAGGAAGCTGGGGTGTGTATAGCTCAGTGGTAGAACACATGCCGAGCATGCACAGGTCCCTGAGTTTAATCCCCACAATAAATAAATGTCTTAGAAAACTGATGAATTTTTATATTTTACTCTACCTTGACAAATGATGTCAAGGTAGAGTAAAATAAGTATGCTCTCAGTATTTTTAAATATAGCTCAGTTTGCTCTTCTTTGGCTGATCAGTATGTCAACACAGCAAAACACTGCACAATGTTGTAACATTTCTCCAATATGAGTTTGTTTCCAACTTAACAACTTTGTATGTTTTCCATACAAAAACAAAAACCTTTTCTAATCTCTTGTCTCTATTCTGGATATAACTACATACTACAAAAATGACAGACAAGGCTGAAGTGGTCATCCAACTTTAGCTTGTGGTCACTTACCCTTTTTCCTTTCAATATGTAGTCTTAGAAAAGGAGTTTAGACCAAGGTTTTAGAACAAATAAATAAGGGCTTGGTGGTCAATGTAATTGCATTTAAACATTTATAAATTACACTTTTTTTTGGGGGGGGGTACTGGGGGTTGAACTTAGGGGCACTCAACCACTGAGCCACTGAGCCACATCCCCACTCTATTTTGTATTTTATTTAGAGACAGGGTCTCATTGAGTTGCTTAGCCCCTCACTTTTGCTGAGGCTGGCTTTGAACTCAAGATCCTCCTGCCTCAGCCTGCCCAGCTACTGGGATTACAGATGCACACCACCTCACCCAGCTATAAATTACACTTTTAAAGTAGTTTCGTGCTGTGGTTAGTTTTAAGTAAATCATATTGTGGGGGTGAAGTTGAATGGCAGAGCACTTAACTAGCATGCCCTCTCCATCACAAAATGAAGTCAAAATCATGTTGATTTTTTTTTTAAGAAAAATACATTTTAGGATTTATTTTTCATGAAACCCATTTAGGATAAAAAAAAAAAGAAGCACCAATAGTATTTTATAGAAATGGTATTTCTATAAAATAGTATTTTATAGAATCTAGACCTGATGCTGTTGAAAACCACTATTCTTATCCTCGAATTTAGGTCTTAATTTTCTAAAGAATTCTCTTATGAGAGATGGGGTCACAGTGGTTGATTGCTTGCCTAGCAAGCACAAGGCTCTGAATTCCATCCCCAGAACCCTAACCCCCAACACACACACAAAGAAAAAACAAAAACAAAAACAAAACTCTATGGTCAAATGCACTTTGGAACACAATGCTGCTTGAGTCAAAGAAATACCTGAGTTTAATATTAYGCTCTAGAAGTATGAAACTATGTCACATTAGGTAGAATCAGGTTCTTTGGAGGGAGGGGCCTAGAAATCTAAATACTTATTAAGTGGCTGTATTAATGCTAAAGTTTGAAAATGATTATCTAAAGCAAAAAAGAGTATCAACTTCTCTGGCCTAAAATAATTGTGCTGTGGCTTCATGTGATGGCACATGCCAGAATCCCAATAATTTGGGAAGCTGAGGCAGGAGGATCACAAGTTTGAGGCAAACCATAGCAACTTTCTAAAAATAGAAAAAAGGGTAGGAGAGATGGCTCACAGTAAAGCATCCTAGGAATCAATTCCTAGTACCACAAACAAAACAAAACAAAAAACAAACAAACAAAMAAAAAAACCATTATCATCCAAGTTAATGCTTTTCTTGAACTCTCGTTTATAATACAAAACAAAAAGGTTTAGAGACTGAATTACACAAAAAAGTCTGAAATTTCAAACCTGTCTTAGAACTGAGGATCATAGCTCTTATTATTTATATTCTATAATAAATCTTATTTCTAAAACTGTGCAAAATTATGATCTTAGTTGGCCACTTGTTTAACTATTTAAAATTTAAATACAGTTGATCCTGAGGGGTGAGATACATGGATTCAACCAACTAGAGCTGAAAAATATGGAGGGAGGGAAACCAACTGTGTTTGTAGTGAACATGTACTTTTAAAAAAATATTTCCTAAATGTTACATTGCAATGGCTATTTACATAACATTTACAATGTATTCAGTATAAGTAATCTAGAAATTATTTCAAGTATAAGGAAGGTTTTGCATAGATAATATGCAAACATGAGGCTATTTTACATAAGGAATTTGAGCATCCACAGATTTATTATCTATGGAGATCCTGGAACCAAGTCCATTAGCTACCAAGGGACAACTGTTAAACACATTTTAAAGTTTCTTTAAGAATTAAGAACTAGGGCTGAGGTTGGGGGTGGAAGGGTAGGGGTGAAACTCAATGGTAAAAGCCACATAGCATGCATGAGGCTATGTAATCCCCAGCACCTCCAAAAAATTAACATAAAATTAAGAATTTTATTAAGATACAAGTTTCACCTCTATCAACTTTCATACTTGCATGCTAATGAAGCAGCCTATCAGTTTCAAAGATGATGATATGCCGAAGTCTGGCTGGGCACAAAATAACCGGGAGGTCATGAGCCACTTGTAGGTTCAAACAGGAACTACTTTATTGCCCAAACTCCACAGGAACTCAACGGGAACTCCCTGAGAACTCAAAAGTAGGGGGCACCCGAGGTAGCAGGAGCCGCCTTATTGTCGGACAGCAAAGGTTTATATACACAACCGAATACACAGCTTGTTTCAATTTAGCATCCTCCAGTTACAGCAATCAGTTATTATCTTAATAATTATACAGCTTAACTTAATTATSATCATCTTAATGGCTCACTGGTGTTACTTCTCAACCACTCCTTCTGGCAAAATGCCAGGCACCATCTTGACTCGGTTGTGGCTCTCAACAGTGATAGGAGAAAAAGACAGCAATAGCATATTTGTAGCAAAAGCATAAGCCAAAGTATCAACATTTTTGCACTGGTTCCCAGAGCCCCAGTTCCCACAGGACAAAGTGAAGAGAGTCAACTGATATCTACACAGGCAGTGGGTTGTGTTACAGAAGAGGAACACTAAGCTTAGGGAACCCTAATCTTTTAATGTGGGCAATAAGCAAGCCCACCCTTTGGCTTCAGAGGAAGACATTTTTTTTTTAATTAAACTGTATAGCATATAACTGTATACACATAGTATGTCCCACCACAGCAAAAAGCAGGAATATATGCTATCTTTTATAAAGACTGTTCTTTATACAACATCCTTAACAAAACAGAAACAAAGAGAGGTTGTTACCTCACTGGCAAAAGCGTAGAAATAGAGACCCTTAGAAAATTGTCTCCTACAAATAGAGACTGTTGCTAAGATAAATGGATTCAAGACCACAATCTATTTAAAGCATCAATTTCATACATCCCTTGACCTAGTGTAACTACTTGATTAGCATATTATCTCAAATTAAATCAACCAGTTTAGGTTAAAAGTGATTTCCCTTTTCCAGTTACTTTGTATTATTTGAAGGATGTGCTCCAATATTTGCCATACTATTTAAATTTAAAATGCTCTACCAGAAACAATTACTGTTCTTACTTTAAATGTTTCAAACCTGTTAACGTTAGCAATGGGAACTACCTGTCAAAAGTCTCATTTTCCAGTAACAAACACTACAAAGAGAACAGTAGTAACTTACAGTCATTGCCTACAAAATACAAGAAAACCCTGCATCTCCAAATTACTTTGTTTTATTTCTCTTTACCCTTCACTGTCTCAAAAACAAAACCTTCGAAAGAAGCAGACAACAATCCACCGTCTCTAGGTTTCTTTGTCCCCAGCAGAAGCGGAGAGGATTGCGAACTCATTAAGGTAAAGAACCCCAAACACGCAAGATAGGAAAGAGAAGGCATTCAATCTGCAATCAATCATCAAAGAAAGTCACCATCACTTAATCTCCATCCCTCCCAACTCCCCCACCTCCAGCTCAAATAACGTGGGTATATACACGAGATGATTAGGATCATATGGACCTGGACAAAGCTTTGCAGAGGCAACGGGTAGTAGTTAACTAGATGCAGTCGGGCAAAGAATCCACGAAACGGAGTACAGGAGACTCCGCCAGAGCTCTGCAAAAGTGCGGGTCGCAAAGGCCACCCAGCCCCGAAGGAGAACGCTGAGCAGCAGCAGCGGCGCGACCAAGTCCCCAGCGCCCGTGGAAGTTGCGAGGCGAGCCGCAGAGCGCGCGGGCCCTCCATGTCACCGCCGACTCAGACCCTCCTCCTCRCCCCTCCCCCGCCGCGCACCCCGGGCGGCGGCGACATGACAGCGGGTCGCGCAGCGCAAGGACGCCCGCCTCCAGCAGCTCCGTCTCCGGGTGCCCCCCGCGCCCGCCTCTCACCTTGGGTGGCGAAAGGCGAGGAGCCGCTGACCGGAGAGCCGGGGGCGGGGACGGGCGGCGGGGTCTCGGCCGAGCCCAGCATGGGCGCCGGCAACATGAGGTAGCGCTGGGGCGCGGGCAGGCAGCGCTGGCAGAAGGAGTGCAGGCAGGGCAGCAGCTTGGGCGCCCGGCTCTGGATGTTCTGGTGGCACACGGCGCAAGTGTCCAACAGGTTGAGCCGGGCTGCCTCGCCGCCGCGCTCCGAGTCCGGGCCCTGCCGACTCTCGGCCTCGTTCTCTCCGCTCGGAGCCGCCGAGGGCCCCCCGGCGGCCGCCGCCGGAGCCGCGGCCGCCGCTGCCTTCTCCACAGCCACCTCCATTGTCCTGCCCCGCCGCCGCCGCCGGGGAAGGGGGAGCGCGGTCTCCGCCCGCCGCCTCCGACGACCTCCTTCTCCTCAGAGGCCGCTCAATCAAGCCGCGGAGAGCGAGAGAGGGAGGGAGAACCGGGCAGAGGAAGCCGCCTCGGGACCCGGAGACCCGCCTCCCGGGTGGCGGCCGGAAGAAGGGGATCTGTCAGCGGGGACCGTTCCCCGCACGGAGGAGGCTGCGCCGGTCCGCTTCGCCAACCGCCGCGCTCTCTTCGAATCCGCCCCAGCGCGCCCTCGCCTCCCAGCCTTTCTCTCAGCCCCGGCCCACCGCAGGCCCCGCCCCCGCCCTCCCTCTCCCAGCAACCGAGGTGACGGCGAGAAGCGCGCCGCCCAATAGCTGCCGCGCCTGGYGAGGGGGCGGGGCCTTCCGAAGCCCGCGAGGCTCGGAGGGCCGCGGCGGGAGGCTGGGAGGTGGGAGGTGCCGGCCTGGCCCCGCCCCTCCGGACGCCTAGAACCGCGGCCTCTGATTGGGCCTTTGTGTGTGTCTTGCTCCGCCGAAAAGATTAAGGGTTCATTTGTTAACCACCAGGTACCTAATACGGCACCGTGGCGCTAGCTCCTCCCATGGGGCGGGGCTCCACCTTGTCAACTCGAAGCTGTTAATTAAGTAATTGCTTCGGAAACTCTGGTTTTACTACCTGAGACGGGATTTTGAAAGAGGAGTAAATATGGTAGTAGAGGAGTCAAAGGAGGATCTAGTGGAGGTAGTGAAGCGCAAGATTCAGAAATGTATTGAGTGTGTAAGGGCTTTGCTTAGCGTGTGGATGGCTATCTTAAGTGACAGCCCTTTTAAGAAAAAGTTTCACTTTCCCACCCAAGGGCGTTCCTGAGAAAGAAGCACCACTCCCTCAGACTAACCCAACCCTTAATCACCTGCTTTAGGACCTGCCCAGCTCTGATTCCTGAGCCTCCCTCATAAAAGACCAGGAACCCAAGCCTGTTTTGCCTCTCTCTCCTATAGAGAGATGGCCTTTATTTGTCAGTTCTGACAATAAACTTTCATGTGTATCTCTGCCTGGTCTCTGTCTCATTTCTTGCTTATCAGTCTCTGGTTCCTCGCTTTCCCTTCAATTTGGTGCTGAAACCCGGCTCTGTTCCCGGGTGTGCCCCCTCTCCTTTTCAAGGACCACTGAGCGTCCCCAGGCCAATCTGAATTCCATCATGGGACCAGGCCCTCCATTCTGCTGAATGCCCTCTCCGCACCCACTACTGGACGTTCCAGGTAAGACCCCTATCTCTGGTCTACCTAAACAACCTATGGGTCCCAGGAAACGACTGTTGAATGTCTAGCATTCCCAGGGTGACTGTGTGGGCGGGGGCACCCCCAGCCATAGCTTTCACAGCTACAGCTGATCCCTACTGTGACCAAGTCTATAGGTCTTTTATTTGGTACTGGGTTTTGAGAATAAAACCACAGAGGGTGATTAGGAGTTGTTCCTACCTCTTGGCCTTGGATTAATCTCTACAGCTTCTGCCCCTTCTATGGGCTTCTGCCCCTACTATGTAGTCTCTGCTGGGCATCCAAGTGCCTCTAAAGGTCCTGCCCCAACGCTTACCCAGCAGTGGTGATGACCCCCTGAGCGAAACCGTCCTCTAGACTAGGTGATACTAGAGACTGGGGGCCRCCCCACCTGCTTCTCACCATGGGCAGCTCCTCATCCATGCCCTCCCATAGCCTCTGGGGCTGCCTCCTGGCTAACCTAGGGTCTCTCTCTTCTCACCCCAGACTGCCACAGTCTGGCTGGGCACAAATCACGAGCCACTCAAGCAGGAACAAACTTTATTTCCAAACTCCACCAGCACACTCCCTAGGAACTCTCTCGAACGCCACCCACGTGGCTCCTCCAGAGCCACACCAACCGGAACTCTCACCACTGGAACTTCACCAACCAACGCAAACTCTTCAGGAATCCCCGAGAGAGCTCAACCAGAACTCAACAGGGAACTCCGCGAGAACTCAAAAGTCATCCTCTTAATGGCTCGCTGGCGTGACCTCTCAACCACTACTTCTGGCAAAAATGCCATGCATCATCCCRACTCGGCTGTGGCCCTCAACACCAGACCTAAAGCCCCCAGATCTTATCCAATCAGATCTGGCCTTAATACCCTTTRGATAACAACTCTAAATGGCTGTTTATGGCACTCTAGATCCCAATATTATCAGGGATCTTTTCAACTATTGTGAGCGTTCAGGAAAATGGAAAGAAATATCATGTTCAGGCCTTCTCCTCTACATTCTAAGCTCTTTCTGCAACTCTTGTTCTCCCGCTCAAGTCCTCTTAGCTCTCACCTTACCTATGCCTGCTTCCAAAGGGACAGAAGATACTATCCAGAACTCCTCCTTCGACCCAGCTGATGAGCTCCCACCATACCACAATTCTCTTTCTAATGAAGCCTTCGCAGCAACTGTCCCCTTGGGCCCTCTGCCCTTCTCTTGTTCTGCCACACTCTCACAGGTTGCCACTGCCCAAAGGACATCTCTGTGTCCTCTACACGAGGTGACTGGGGTAGATGGTGTAATCCCGGTTCATGCGCCTTGGCTAAGGACCTAGCATCCATACATCTCACTCAGTCTATGGTGCTACAATATGTTGATGACCTCCTTCTTTGCAGTTCCTCCCTTGAGGTCAGTTATCAGGACACCTGTAAACTTCTTAACTTCCTTTCTGCCCATGGCTATAGGGTTTCTCCATCCAAGATACAGCTTTCCTTGGCAATTGTAACAAAGCAGGCCTCCTCCTGATGTCTACACACAAAGTCATTATGGTTGATAGAAAGGGCCTTATCTCTAATATATCAACACCATCTCTAAGGAAGAAATTCTCTCTAGGTATGGCAGGATTCCTCAGAGCTTGGATTCCTAACTACTCTATATTGGCTAAGCCTCTATATGATGCAGCCTGGGGCCCACTCTCTGAACCCCTATTGTACTCTGTTACAACKCCCTTCACCAGGCTCCAGCAGGCTCTCCTCCAGGCCCCTGCTCTCCATCTCCCTGATCCCACATGCTCATTTCATCTTTATGTGGCTGAAAAGCAGGGATTTGCTCTGGCTGAAAAGAAGAGATTTGCTCTAGGTTCCTTGGACACATGCTGGGGCCAACCTTTGCCCCTGTGGCTTATCTGTTTTGACCCTACTGTTTGGGGATGGGCCCCTTGCCTATAAACATTGACCACAGTCTCTCTACTCATTAACGAGTCAAAGAAACTCACCTTTAGGGCCCCACTCACYATCCTGGCTCCCTATCACCTAAAGAAACTCCCCACCTACAAGGGCTTACATTCCTCACCTACCTGTCGCCTTTTATCTCTACAGCTTTCCCTGGTGGAAAATCCCAGTCTTACTTTCCACACGTGCTCACCTTTAAACCCTGCTACTCTCCTCCCTGCTCCTCAGGACTCTTCCAGCTCTTCTCCTCTTACCCATTCATGCATCCAAACTCTGGAGTTTCACACATAGAGAAGGCCCCTTGCTTTAGGCAACGTGCACATGGTTCACAGATGGCTCCTGCTTCCTTCAGGAGGGAGTCAGCGGGCAGGTGTGCTGTAGTCTCTCTAACCTCAGTAGTGGAAGTGGTTTCCCTCCCCTTTAATCCATCCAATCAGCAGGCTGAACTGGTTACCTTCATCAGAGCCTTCATTTTGGCAAAGGAAGCCTCCCTCAATGTCTACACTGATTCTAAATATGCTTTCCACATACTTTTCTCCCACTCTGTTATTTGGAAGGAGCATGGATTTCTTACCACCAAGGGAACCTCAATTACTAATGCCCCCTTTATCTCCAATCTCCTTCAGGCCTCAGAGCTTCCCACTGCCTTTGGAATCTCACATTGTAAATCCCATCAGACAGACACCTTCTTTGTGRCACTCGGCAATAACAAAGCAGACTCTGAGCCAAGGGCTGCTGCCCTCTGACAGCTTCCTCYACCTGTGGTCCTCTGCCTTGCTAGTCCCCCTATGGACTCTTCCCCACCTGACCACTCAACAGATGCTTACTTTCCTTCACAACCTCTTTCATCCTAACACCACATATTTACAATTTCTCACTTCCCCCCTTAAACTTTGTCAAGATGACCTATAATTTTTTCTCTACCCTCCCTGCCTCCTGTGAAATCTGCCAAAAAACCAATCCCACCTCCAATCTCCACCCACCTGCCTTCCTTTTACACCAGGCAAGAGAACATGTTCCTTACTCTGATTGGCAGCTGGATTCCACCCATATGCTCCTGGTCAAGGGGTACAAATTTCTCTTGGTACTAGTTGACACCTTCTCAGGATGGGTCAAGGCTTTTTCTATCACCAATAAGTGTGCCYTGACCGTGGTCAACATCCTCGCTGAACACATTCTTCCCCGATTTGGCCTCCCCTCCTCACTGCAATCTGATAATGGTTCTGAATTTACTTCCCACGTTTCACGGTCTGTAGCTAAGGCATTCACCATCTCCTGGCATTTTCATATCCCTTACCATCCCCAGGCCTCTGGCAAAGTGGAACTTACCAACTGGACCTTAAAGAACTTTCTCACTAAACCGTCCCTTGAATTACATTTAGATTGGACYAAATTCTTTCTTTTGACTCTTCTTAGGTTATGGGTCCTCCCAAAGAAGCCACTCARCATCTCCCCTTTTGAGCTTCTATATGGACAGCCTMTCTCCCTGCTCAGCTCACCACCCTCTGATTCTCCACTACCCCTTGCTCCTCATCTTTTCTGGTCCCTTCTTGCATACCTTAGGAACCTTCTTTGGTAATTCAGTAATGCTGTTCTGGCAAAGCCTAGTTCTGCCTCTTCCCCTTCTCCTACTGTGTCTCCTGATGACTTGATACTTTTTAACAAGACCCCTGTCTTTCTCTCAACTCTCCACAAAATGGACTGGACCCTATCAGGTCATTCTTACCACTTCCTTGGCAGCCTGCCTTGAGGGCATCCCATATTGGGTTTATAACTCTCATTTAAAATGGTTTTCTTCACCCTTTTATGCAGTGACACCCACAGGCCTTCTCAAGCTGCATTTCTCCAAGGCTGGAACCCCCTATCTTCCTTCGGTCTCTGAGGATCCTGAGGACACTGCAGAACCATGAGTACCACCCTTCCCTTTTTCATTTTTGTCCTCCTCCCTCATTCTGCACTCACCTCCCTGGGGTACCATTACCAGGAATTATCATTCCAATTTCTAGGACACTTACAGCAACTTGCTCAAACCATACTAACCATACGATCCCAGCTTGATTCTTTAGCTGC